GAAATGACCTTGAGATCTCTGAAACTTCACCAATTGTAAACAATTTATATAATAATATTGCTGCTATATTATATAGCTCTTTATACTGAAATAATTCTGTTAATAAAGTTTCTTCATGTCTCCAAAATATTCAAGTATATTCAAGTATGATATTCAACGACATTCAAGCACGATATAACAGTATTCAAGTACCAATTTTTACTAGGCCACCTTGTATAGGGTGAGATAAAATTAGGTTGCGTTGTATCTAAAACTTGATTACAACTACAAGAAAGTTATAATCGGAAAAGTTGAATGAAATTTGAAAATTTAACAATGTAGTATATACCTGCCAAGTGCAAATGCATTTAAAATCCGAACAATCGATAGTATTTCATAAAAGGAGTAATAATAATCAGTGTACAGGGCAATTGAACCACATCATTCTGTATACTAATGTTAATAATATTAATTTAATCGTTTCGAGAATATTGATATATTTAATATATTGATAAGATGTTAGTGCATCTAAAGTGAAGTAATCACAGTTACCGATGCATTTACTTGCAAAAATATTAGCATGAATGTAATTCTTTATCCTTTGCACCCATCCTTAGTTACCGTCAAGCAAATGTTTAAATACTAAGTTAGTATTACTAACAGCGGTTTGTTACATTTTCGTGTTCGGCATTGCACTCCAATTCCACAGGTCCTCGAGCATTTTTCCCACGTTTTCCATGGACTCCAGCCACCATCTCGAGGTTTGTTCAATGTCATTCCAAAGTCAAAAGTCCGCCTTTTCGACGATTGACATCGACCGTTTATACACCACTAAAATGACCGCGGAGAGACTCAAATAATAAATTGTTCGCTGCGGCATTCTGTGACAAGAGATCATCAATTTTTCATGTTATACTAAAAGATTTAGTTTACCTTCGAAGCACCGCACAGTGTGCCTTCTAACGGCGGTCCTTTCTTGGTCTTACAGGTTTCGGAAATATTCCTATTACCGCACCATAAATGCGAACATGGCTCCACAACATCGAAACTTTTGCAAAGTTCATAACTAAATGCGCGCAAAATGTACGAGGTTATATTTCATACTGTGAGAAACATAAGCGATCGTAGGATATGGCATAACATAATAAAAAATAGGTGCGTTCTAATTGTATTGTTCATGTCTGTTTAAAAGTAATGGATCATGCAGATATTACAGCTGTTTTTGCTTTTATAATGTATAATTAATGCTAAAATATTGGAAACTACGGTAATTGACTTTAATGTTTCGAATTTTGTCTGATAGATACGACTGACAGTGAGTAAGTAATATTGTTTTCTTGATTATGTATTATGTACATAATATAGGAAATAAACATTTTTGTTTCATTTGAATGCTTATGGTGTTATCTGTAGTATGTACTAAGCAACATCAGAACAATACGCGTTTAATATATTCACATCGATAAACTTTTCCAAAAGTTATTAGAGCATTTTCTTAGAGGAAACATGTTTATAATTTTATGTGAAGATTTAGTGTCAAAGTCGTATAGTAAAATTCGAAACAAATCTTTAGAGAGCAATAAAATAAACACTGACATAACATCATTTTCATAGATATAAATATTAGAATACAGTATAATATATAAATATTAATATATACATAAAATATGTTAAAATTAATGTATACATAAAATATGTTAAAATTTCTGCAATATGAAAAATTGCATAAATAATATAAACATCTGTGTATGCATCTGCAGTCAATTAAAATTATATATTTTACAGCATTGGGCGTCGTGTATACATAAACTCCTCATTTTAGTAATGATAGTATAAGAGTTTGAAATAAACACAGCACATTTTGTTAAAGCATAAACTTTACTATTTATTGCACTAGTTGAAAATAATAAAAAAAAAACGTACCCTTCACCGAATTCCACTCGGCATTGCTCGTCCATCGTAAAAGTTTCGCGAATGGAAGCCTTCAAAGGAGTGGAACTGCCATATGTTGGTTTGTTTAATAAACAGGACCACCGTCTGCAAGCATTTACTTGAAAAATAAGTCCCGGAATAAAAATATATCATTCGAGCCAAATTATTTCCTCACCTAACCCTTCGATGGAATTCCTTTTTCGAACAGGCGGACCAATAAAACTGATGGAATGTTGCAGCTACCATAGGCGCCATCACACTTCCCCGCAAACCTTCTTCGCTGCAAGTGTTTCCAGTCGACTCGTCGCCATCGTGGCTTAATCCTAGACTATGAGAAACATCTTTGTACATCGCTCAAACCAAACGAAATTCTTCCATGATGCTCAAGGTGCAGGATTCGTGAAAAACGCACCGGATATTTTCATTGTAACGCAAAAAACGATTTTGATTTTTTATAGCTCTGTGTAACTTTGAAGTCACGTGTACCGATTTATCATTCCGTTTAAATGTAACTTTACTTTTAGCTATAATGTAGTAAAAGTATTTCGTTCTGTTGTTCCTCTTTTATCATCAAGAAGATTTTGTATCTTAATATTCAGATCTTACTTCATACAACAGAGCAAATTCATTTTTATATCTAGGGGTTGATTTTCAGTAGTTTTGAGATACAGAAATTGCTTTAAACCCATAGAAACAATACGGGCTGTAGAGGGTTAACATTAAACGTACGTATCAGTCAAAATGACCGGTTCCAGATTTTTTGTTTTAATATTGTTGTAGGAAATGATTCAATAAATTTCTTAATTCAAGCATACGTAGTATTAACAATAGTAAGAATAATTAAGAAAGATCAGTTTTGTAATTCTTGTAAAGCAACACACACCAGATATCTTTTATACTCGGTAGATTTAACGTTAAAAGGTTTTACGAAACGATGTGCAAATGACGTTTCTTACTGTTGATCCTAACATTGCAATAAATTGATTTTCTTCTGAATTTCAAAAATTCATATAGTTATTCTACCAATGTATCAGTCATTTTAGTGGTCTTTTCTCAAGATAATTATATCTAATATATAATGATTAACTCTTAATCGAATTTGTCTAATATCTTAACATTAAATCAACCGAGTTCTAAAAGTGACTGATGTATAGTGCTTTATAAGAACGATAAGTATAAGAATTTAATGAGACCTTTCGCAATTTTTATTATATTATATTATGTTATAACTATAATATTTATTATAGTTATTCAATCGTTTCCTATGACAGAGTCTTCATATTTTTAATAATTTAAAAATAAAAACTTTAAAGGCACAGTTTACATTTTTAAAGGCACAGTAAGTTTAGTGTCAATGTAGTTATTTGACTGTGGATCTTTATGCATTTATGGGGCATGAAGATTTCTCAAATGCAAGAAAACGTGTAAATTAACAAGGTCTGATAGCATTTATATTTTCTATTTTCAGTGAGTAATTTTTTAGTTGACGAAGAAAACTTTTCCAATTTTTATAAAATGACTTATGAAAATGAGAATCTGCATAATGATTCGTAGACTTGTAATTATATCATATTTGAAGTCAGTTGAAATGAAAATTCCACGTTTAAATTAATTTTGAGACTTTTTGAGTTCCCGGTGAACTTACATATGCGCCATTTCGTGAGCAATGATGAAGGCACTGGTCAAACCTTCGTCTCTATTTAGGGCACAGGACCGTGCAGGGTTGCATACTCCAGAAACAGGTGCATAGCCAGAGGGGCCACCGATGTCTAAGCGCGTCAGCCATATTGCAACGTCATGATGCACGGTCGCCGATGTTAACATTTTCTTATTCCATTTATTAACATTTTCGAGAGAACGTCTGGAGTCACCTCGACGAACCTGCCACATTGATAAGAACATTACAACATGCATACATTAACATTTTAAACATCCGATCTAATGCACTTCAAGTCTTCTCGTTAGAAACGAATCTAAATGCTAATTTGTAAAATCAACTGTTACTTTGAATAGCGAACGCTGAAACTTTCAAATTGACTATAAATTTTTAGATAGAAGCTAGTACTTTGTCTGTATATTATATTCAGCTATTCTGCGAAATTCTGACGTTCTAATTCAATTCTTACTGAATGTATTCAGAGTACATATAATTACTAGACTGTGGATTTTATACATTTGCGATAAAATCGAGCAGATGAAATAACGAATAATAATAATAATAATATTTAAAAAATTTAAAGATATTGCTATATTTAGTCTTAACCTGTCAAAATTATTAAGAGCATATATATTTTTATTTAATTCCTATTTCTTCCAATTAATGCGGACAATTGCGTTTGCATAAAAATCCACTATCTAATTATAACAATGAAGTAAAAGCAGAACACTATAAAAACAGATAAATAATCATAATAAATATTGTGATCTACTTTCTAATTTATTTCGATTTTCGCATGTTTCACTAAGATCTATAAAAAGATAACGCGTTTCGGGAATACCTTACAAAATATGTTGCAAAAATTGGAAAATGAAATTGTAAATAATCCTAAGGATAGTTATATTGTTGTCGGAAAGGTCCGCCGTTTATTCGCGCGTTTATGCGATCGAATTCAATCGAGATCTTAACAAATGAACTCCCGTATCTTGGACTTTAGATGAAAAAATGTTTGTATAATGAAGTCCCGTTTGAAATGATAAAATTGGAAGATACATTGTTTCGCTTACCAAACTGTCCCTCTTTTCTGCGTACAAAATCATTCGCACAATTACTAGTATCATATTTGATTCAAGCGATGGATCCATATAGATAGCACTGACCTAAAATCAGAATTTTTGTTTAATCGCTTTTGCAATCTCTACACTTCACAAAATGGATTCCAATATGAGAGTACATAATCGCACTAATTATCGAGCTTCGCGCAAGTAGCTCCTACAAACATCTTCAATGAACGATAAAGTTGTATGTTTTCGTACAATGTTTAAAAGTGCCAAAATATATTGCTGCGTTCGTTCTCCGTGAAAGTCTATTATGGAATAATCAGCAGCTATTCCAAGTTCTAGCCAACGAGTCGACGAATCCCTGATGATCATTTTCCTTCCTGGGAACACATGAACATTTTCATTTCAACGTCGAATTAAAATTTCGATGATCAAAATTCAACTTTACATTGGAAGTTGAAAATAAAATTTAAAGATATAGCTTCAGTAAACAAATTGAAAATCAAATATTATAATTAATATTGGCAAGAATTATATTCAAGTTGAGTTTTAATTGCTCTAAGCAAAGTTTAAATAAAATAGTAAGTTTGTATATCATTTCTGATCGATGACACTTGAGATTCGACTTTTCAATAGAAATTAATCAACTGTAGTAGATAAAAATGAAAAACTGTGGATGTCGAACTCATTATTTAATTAATCGTTTTGTTTCGTCGAGTTCAACTCTAATTATTTTTCAATTTCTAATTCCGCCGTTGACATTGAAATTTTCCTCACTCGGTATTCTGTTCCTCTGCCACGATGGACCGCCAAAGTAACTGATATCTTCCGAGTTTTCGTCGACTTCTATTATTGTGTCATTATATTCTGTCGTCACCTCCTCTTTCTCATCGTATAAAACTAATTTCTCAGCTTCTGGATAATCCACGTCAAACACATCGCCTGACAAATTATAGAATTCTGGAGTGTAGTGATCCGCCGAATCTCGCCTCTTTCGATTTAATTTTCCGCCTTCATTCTGGTACCCTATAATTATCAGAAACTTTTGAAGTAATTATTAGAACCAGAGAAATTACACTCGCGTCGGTAAGTGTAATTCCTTTACAAGGCTAAGCGATTGAATTTTTCTGAAATGTTACAACAGTTGTTTTAAACTGTAATTAATTCAGATGATACAAAAATAAAAAATGATGTTTGTTTAACGTTTTTATCTGAACCTGTTGAAATCAGTTTAACTAAAAGATATAAAAATTACCTGTTCTTGATTGACAACTGCTATTTTCACGAACTTTAATTGTTAACAGCTCATAACAACGTCAACCGATTTCAATGAAATTTGCATAAATCACCATGATCTACAAAAAACATTTTTGAAATTTTCAGGTTCAGATAAAAAAGTTGAAAAACCATAATTGTTTAATACTTCCGTTATTCCAACCAATTGCAATCTAAAAGAATTTGTGTATAGCCATTGTCTACGAAACAACATCTCAACGTCTCAAAAGAATTCGAGTCATTGAATGACCAATTTGAAAAAAATTATTACATTTGAAAAGTTGTTAACATCTATTCCGATGCGAGTGTATGCATGCTTTCCACATAGCGTTTGAGCTCTTAAACTACACACCCCACAAATTTTCTACGTACACGTATGAAATTCCATCGCAACTTTAGCTATGCGGGCCATCGAGCTGATAATTGTTTACCCAGTTACATAATTCCATTGCGCTAGCTAGAGGATCCGTGTTTCAATTCTTAAAACAGTATTTCCTTTTTACGTTCGAAGACATTTTAACAACAATGCTCCTAATCAATTAGGTTGAATTTTAATCAACCGTTTTCAGAACACACACACACACACAAAGTCTGCTTATAGTTATTACCTCACTATCAAGTTTTAATCAAACGCTGCTTCTACTACAATAAAGTAGCAAGTAATATTCAAATAATACGACCCATAATAAAAACTATCCTGATTAGTTTGATCGAATTTAACATTAAATTGAGTTCAAGAATAGTTCAATTTAAAACCGAATACCCTGATGTATCTGACATTTTTTATTAATTCTAGAAACTTTTTAAACCTGTATCGGCATAAACAAACTTATGTAACTCGAAACAAACAGATATAAATTTCTGAGTATAAATTAACAATGAATTTACAATCTAAAATGTGATAGTAAGAATATGAAAAAGGGAAGTTGAAGGAGAAGCAAAATGCTTTTAATATTGTGGCTAAAATTGAAATAGGATTGAAAAACATGGTAAATCATGGTGTAATTGCAAAGTTACACTGAGCTATAGAGAGTTAACTTAATTTTATAAATATTCAATCAAATAAAATTAAACTGATCTTGTAACTACTGAAACACTTCGTGCATCCTATACAGGATTAAATGCAATAGTTCAATTTTAGGTTGCATAAAGTTAGGTCAGGGTTTATTCATGGTAGCTTGTAGAGATAGTTCCACTCGTCCTGAAGATGCAACGATTGTCTCAAAGCTGTGATTTCACAGAGTAAATTGAAAAGTAACTAAGTGACTAAGCATATTACAAGCAACATTCTTAATGAAGACAAATCGTACTGACTCGACCAAGGATAGGACATACTAAAACTGCGAATTATACTAAGACTGCGAATTTTATGCATTTACACCAAAGCTGAATAAGTGAAATATAAAATTCAATTTGAGAATATTTTTATATTATTTCTGACTTATTCAAATGATTAAAAAAGAGGCTTTTGATTTCATTTCTGCTTCTTATTATTGATTTAGACAATTTTTACTTTGCATAAAGATCACCATCTCCTTTCACAAAATGATGTACCACTTTGTAACATCTATAATACTGAGTTTACAGTTAAACCCCTTCTAATAGATCGTCCATCGTGTAACAATATCAGGAAAAATGTAAAAATGCTCAATATCATCAAAAACTGCTTGAGAAGTTACAAACACAAGAAGTTACGTATCCTGTTTAGAAGAAACCAAATTGCTTAGGAAAATTATGCATGTGTAGTAATTTAATAAACCTAGATTAAGACGATAATTGTTTTTAAGAAGATACGACAATAAATAAATTATAGATAATGGTAAACCATGTGGTCGCCAATGATGTCGCAATTAATGCGACCAGGCTAAAATAAATAAACTTATAAATTAATGAATAAACAAAAAATAAATGAAAACCTAAAATTGAAGTTCATCACCTGACAATTTCCGAGGTCTCAGGGACACAAGGTCTGCGTCTTCCTTGGACGACCACCATCCGACTTTCGGCGATTCATACATCACGTGTTTCCCATCAGCCAACGGTTCAACGAAGAAGGATGCCCTGTCCGTTACCATAATCGCGTACACCTCCTGTTCGCACAATGTGACAACCACTAAAGAGCGGTTGCCTCCGTTCAGACTGCCTTGTCGAAGCTGACAGCCGGATTGTCCCCCATAAATCTCGGATTCGGTCCTTGTCGCGTAAACCCAATCCACTTTGAAGTTCGAATCGAGTATCACTCTGTCACTGGCGACCGTTCTCAAAGTCCAATTGCTGATCTCGATGATCACCGACCCGTCATCGTGTGGCTGATCCACGGCCGATCTTCGGCCACGAGGACTCTCGTTCACGATGATCCGCGGATAAACGATCTCGTATTCTTGCAGACTCTGCAGGAACTCTCTCGATTTCGTTGCAATCGTGCCAAGCAGCCACGTGGTCAGAAGAACACCGGGAAGCTTGGACCGTTTCATGATGAAACTCGTGGAATTTCAGTACAATTTCTTCGTTCGCGATTCAAGATTCATCGTTTCAACTTCGGTCGATCGTCGCTGAAGGATTTCCGTGCCGACTTCAATCAGTAACGAACGAAAGATCCGCAGAACGTTGTTCTAAATGAATGATTCCGTGATCACGCGCGCTTCGCACAGAATTTTTCGACATCTTCCCGAGCTGTTCCGATGCGTGAATCTCACGTTCGTTGACCAAGCAACGTCACTCGCGCAATTCAGCAGCCGACAATGACGCGAACCGCGATTCCACGGCGAATAAAAGCCCCGACAACAATCACTATCGCCTCTTCTCTAATTTGTACACTGGAGGTTCAATTAACGCGAGGAGGACGCGACAACTGTGCAACTGGCAGCCACATGGGCGAAAGGCACGCGAATGTACCAGCGAATTGTGCGTAAGATCGCGCTAGGCTGGAAAAAGCAGCAGCCGCCCACTGAAGTTCTAATAATGGCAGCTTTATGTGCAATCACCGAGAAACGAGGATGCTGGCGGACTCATTGTTCGTGCACGCCGCTGTTAACGAGGATTTCGTCTTCGCTCGCGACCGGCTGAATTCTTGTTATAGGCAGAACTAAGTGATCAATCTAATCGGGGGGGAATTAAATCTGTTCCGGTTGCTTCCGTCGCTCCAACGCGAGTTCTTCGTTCGCGGAACGCTGAAAGATCAGTCGGGAAGTTTTAAATACACGCAGTTCGTTCATTTATTTATTTTCCGGTACATCGGTAAACTGACATGAAAAAAAGTATTCGTGAACTGAATACTAGCGTTTCTCAATCTTTTCAGAATGAATGGAAATTTAGTAGGGTGAAAACATATTCAATAATGCAATCACTAAATGCAGCAACTTTTATGCGTGAAAGATAATTTATAATAAATAGTTCAATTTCAGACATTCTGCGATTTCTTCGTTTTAGGTATGGGAAAATGTAAAACTGACGATTGTAAATAAAATGCAATTACGAAATTGTAAAAATTACAATAACATGAACAAAAGCAACGTAAAATAATACGGGATAGTA